ATGCTACCCCTTTACATGTCCCTAAAACAAAAATATGTACACACACACACATACCACAGATGCATACATATACACACACACACATATCTATGTTTGTTTATTATAGTACCCGGGCCGACGCAAACCAGCGTAATGAGCTTTCTTGAGACCACGATATAATAACCCTAACCCTAAACTCTAAGCTTGCACCCGGACTCCACCACCCTTTCCAAACCCACAAAAAGAAGGCTATTCCTCAAACCAAGTAGGCTTTCTGGATAAGGGATCTGGAGTCGAGGGAGCGTCGCGTCGCAGGGGATAGCAGGGGATAGCCCTAAACCTTGAACATTCCTTGAAGCCTAAACCCTAAACTGGTCCAAGACCTCAATTAAACCCTAAACCCTAAACATCCTTTAAACCAGGAGCCATAAAGCCGTAACCCTAAACTTAAAAACCCAAGCCCCAAACCCGAAACGCTCCCGTGCAGGAGTGGCATTGAACTCCTCAAGGTCAGCGTGCCCTCGCTGCTGTACACGGCCTAAGCCTCGGTGTATGCAAACGAGGAGAAAATGGGATGTTGGCGTTTTTTGGGGAATTTCGCAAGGGTGTTGTGTAGGGTTTTGGGGCTTTATGCGTGTTTTGCAGAGTTTTTGGGATTGTTACAAGGGCTTTACAGAAGGATCTTATCTTATCACAAGGGTCTGTAATACATGTCTTAGGGTCCCGTAATCTAGTCAAGGTACAATATTTCCTTTCAAACCCCCTACTTGAATCATTTTTTCAAGCCCGCCAGCGCCAACACACCAGATATTCCTCTTCATCATTATGCGTGACTATCCATGATTACACGATATATATATATATACACACACACACATCTAACTTCGTATTTGTTCTTGTACATTATTGCGTTTTGTTACCTGCTATTATGCTTTTATACTGTATTGTTATATCTTGTTATTTGTTATATCTCGGGCATATTTTGGCATATATGAGTATGTAACTGTATATATTAGTACATATTAGTATCAGTATGCATTAGTGTCATTAGTGTATATATAGATGTATTGGTGTGTCTGTCTGTCTGTCTGTCTGTCTGTCTGTCTGTCTGTCTGTCTGTCTGTCTGTCTGTCTGTCTGTCTGTCTGTCTGTCTGTCTGTCTGTCTGTCTGTCTGATTGTCTGTCTGACTGTCCGTCTATATGTATGTATGTATGTATGTATGTATGTATGTATGTAGGTATGTATGTATTTATGTATGCATGTAGGTGTGTATGTATGTATGTATTTATGTATGTATGTAGGTGTGTATGTATGTATGTATTTATGTATGTATGTATGTATGTATGTATGTATGTATGTATGTGTGTATGCGTGTATATTTGTATATGTTTCTGTTATTGTACATGGTTATATACCGTATATGCTATGAGCAGCTCCAGAATGAAAGGTCCAGAACCCTAAACCCTAAACCCTAAACCCTAAACCCTAAACCCTAAAGGTCCAGAACAACCTGCTCTTCATTAGCCTCTCCAACCTCAGCGGTGCAGTGCCTCCTAGCCGCAGGTGTTCTTTGGGTTTAGACTTCTAGGGGTTTTGTGTTGCAGATCTCCAGCGGTTTTTAGGATTTAGGACGTTAAGCATGTTTGAGGGCTTTCAGGCTGTTCAGGTTTGGGCTTAACCTGAGCTTCTTCGGGTTTCAGACCTTCAGACTCTACGGGTTTTGGGAGGGTTTTCTGGGTTTTCGGGGCTTAGCCCTGCCCGACGAGCTTCTTGCGGCGGTTAGCTGTACTGAGCTCCACCTTCAATCGCCTTGTGCTCGAAATGTCCCAAACCCTGAACCCTTAACCCTAAACCCTGATCCCTGAACCCTGAAGCCTAAAGCCCTAACCCCTGAACCCTGAACCCTTATCCCTGAACCCTAAACCCTAAATGCCAGCCGCTCCGCAGAGCTCAGGTACCAGGTGACCTACCAGCTGAAGATCTTGACCACCGCCGTACTCAGCGTCATCATCCTGGGCAAGGACGCAGTGTATAGCAGACCGTCTGTTGTACAGATCGTAAGTCACCTAAGCCGGTGTGTTTATCGAGTTTTGCAGGAGATTGTTATGCGCTAAGAGTTTGCAAGCGCTTTGGCACAGTGCATGTCTTGCTTCATGATTCGTGGGGTTCATTTCACTGGACTGTACGATCATAAAGACATTCTGGGAGAACGGTGCTGCTACTACTACTACTACTACTACTACTACCACTACCACTAGCACTACCACTACCACGACCACTACCATGACCACTACCACCACTACCACTACCACAACCACGACCACTACCACTACCACTACCACTACCACTACCACTACCACTACCCCTACTACGACGACGACGAAGACGACGACGAAGACGACGACGATGACGACGACGACGAGTACTACTACTACACGCGACACCCAACCAAAAGAATTCGCTGTTCAGGCCCCTTTGCCGTCCCTTTTGACCGGCAGTCTTGGGATACTTGACCTTTCGGAGGTAAGGATTGCGGGACTTTTTTGTTGGGCCTGGGTTTACTTGATCCTTCTGTATGGCTCCTGAAAACTTGAAATCTTTTCGTCTATGTACCCTAAACCTCGAACCCTAAACTAAACCCTAGCAAGTCTGCCCCAGCCTTTGACCCTTTGAGAGGTTGTCCCGGCGATAGGACCTTCATCGCTGCAGAAACTTTGGACCATAAGCGTAAGTCTACACCCAAACAAGAGTATACCCCATCTCCAGCACTGGGCATCCTTTACTCTTTGTAACCCACCTTTCTTGTACCGTATTCGCAAGCCTCGCTATATGTTTACGCCTGTTGCTGGGAAACAGATTTCGAGCCTCTTAAACTGTGGGCTCTCTGGGAGCCGTGTGCGGATAAACATCCAACATACCACAAAAAACACACACAGCATACTATACTACAATACACTACGATATATATATATATATACACTATATTATACTAGAATGTCCCATGGTGTACCTGTAATATGTATACCCAACAAATGTCTTCACACACATACTTAATAATACACTACACACCACCGAAACCCAAGATTCTCCTATCAGTCTCTTGGGCTGGAGAAGTGGTGCATCCCGGCTGCCAAGCTCGGAACTCCGGAGACAGCTGGGTTAAGGATTTAGGATTTGGGGCTAAGGATTTAGGATTTGGGCTTCTTTTGAGTTTAGGGTTTAGGATTTGGAGTTTAGGGTGTAGGATTTGGGGGCTTCGGGTTTGTATTGTAAAGGGGGATGGTTTGGAGTTTGCTGGATTTCGATGCTTTTCGGCGGGTTTGCGCCGAGGGCGACGAAGTACCGTAGTTCCCCTTGGGTTCCTTCAAGGGGTCGTTTTCTCGAGCTGGGTCTACAAGGGCTACTATACGGGTTTCAACGAGGGTTCAACATGGGAGGCTTTAAGCATGTTGTAGTGTATTTGCATAAAGCAACCCTGCAGAGTAATGTTGGTGATTGAATTATCCTGGCTTCCATGCTAGATCATATCGTACGAAGCAAGGTCTTCATTGCCAATAGGGCTGGCAGGAAAACTTTAAATTCTAAATGTAGGCAGCAGGGTTAATGTTGTGAGTATCCCTAGCAGGAAGAAGTCCCAACATGCACTTGTAGGCATCGGTGCACTTCCTTGGATCCCGGAGCCATCAGCCAGAAACCCTAAACCCCACACCCCAAACTCCAAACCCAACCTAAAAACCTAAAAACACCAAAGCAGTACCAGGAGCTTACACAA